ACACACACAGTTCAATTTATATTATTCACCAAATCAAATCACTGCTGCATTGAATTATTTAGTCTATTCACCTTTATTTCTTAAAAACATATCTGTCTAAAATGAAGCAGTTTAACCGCCTCATGCAGAGGTTGGGCTGGATCTGCCAGGATCAATCTCACCTTTTTTAATGACCCGCCTAAAAAAAAAGACACTGAGATCTCATTAGGATGTTAACCTTATTTTGGATGGACACCTAATGCATCTTATTTTAAGTCAAAACAATTTGTAGTCAAATTGTTCTAGCTTCATTTCTGTAAATTTTAGACTGAATTGTTCCCAGAATGATTTCTAACCAATTAAATTTTAGAAGAGAAACAAGCATTATTGTCATGCTATAAGTGAAATGTTCTTTGGCTCCATTTCTTTTCAGCAGCATCAAAGTAAGAGTTAGGACTCCAGTCTGTGTGGTTTGTGTTTGTCTTCCTTCCTCCACCAGGCGGCGCCTGGTCCTGGTTCGCCTCCTCACACACCTGCGGAGGGTTACCTCGTTAACGAAGTGCTCTTAAGCTGCTGACTACCACTACCTCTACGCCACAGTGTTTGCCAGTTTTGGGTACTCTAGCCAAGCTGAGTTTGGCTGAGTCAAACTGAGTTTTTGTTTACCTGAGTTTTAACCTCATTGTTTTTGTCTTTGCCTCTTGGCAGGAAGTCATCCTGCAAACTGGATGTTTTGGACCTTCTCTCCCCTGGAAGGATCTTCTGAGAATCAAGCTGAGATGAGGATACTAGGTTGTGGGTCTGATCAACCCTTTCCCCCAAGGATCGTCTGGGGCTTCTCTCTGAGCAAGAGATTCATCTCCACAACAACCCGTTCAAGTACCGCAGAAAATCTAATTGGCAGTCAGCTTCTCTGTTCACCTTCAAACAACCGCATCCCGGGTAAACCCTGTCCGCCCTCCATCGAACAAGACAAACACTGGAACACCCCCCCCACACCGACTGGAGTCATAAGCGTCAACCATTTGCTGGAACATGAGTCTGCAACCTATTTCTCCTCTTCAAGTTCGAGAATCAAATTTCCCACTGAGCCTGAACTAACCGCAGTGTCTTCCCCTCACTTTCCAGTTCCGGTTGAGCAGTGTTCAGAGCTACACTGGATTCAGCACAACCTTCTCAATAAACTTTGCCCTGGTCTCTCTGTATTGGTTTTCTGCATGTGGGTCAGAGCCCTTCATAAAATCATGACAGTAAGAAAGAATAAATTTATGTTGTTTAATAAACTTTCATATTTAATATAAAAATTTTAGTGTCTGGTCATTCTGTTATATTCAAGCCTATTGTTAAGGTGTGAGATATATATATATCTATATATATATATATATATATATATATATATATATATATATATATATATATATATATATATATATATATATATATATATATATATATATATATCATCCAGCATAAATAAAGCTTTTTTTAGAATCAGAACATCCCTGAAATAATCAAAAATACAAACTCACAGGCTTGCTGATTATACGTCGCGCCATGGCGTTCCTGCGTTCTGACATCATGTTCTATAATAAAAATAAAGCAAATTTCAGTAAGTTGTAAGCAAATTTCCTCAACAACATTGAAGCAAGCACTATTAGAAACAGACACTAAATGAAGCTAAAAGTACTTCACAACTTTCTATCATGTATATATTAGTGTTGCACCGATACCGATACCAGTATCGGACGGGGCCCCGATACTGCCCTAAAATGGTGGTATTGGTATCAGCGAGTACCAACAAATAGGGCACCAATACCATTTTGAGAGCCATAAGTTTATTCAACTATTGTCACCCATTCCTGGTAGGCAATAAAAAGTTCTACTGGATTCACTCTGTATTAGATTTTTTCCTGCTTCACAAAAGTAGGCAGCAGCTCGACAAAGCCATGATGGCAATTATTTTACATTATTATGGCATCGGTATCGGCCGATACTGCACAGCCAGGTATCGGGTATCGGGGCCAAAAAATGGCATCGGCGCAACACTAGTATATATACATATATATATACACAATGGGGAGAACAAGTATTTGATACACTGTTGATTTTTCAGGTTTTCTTGCTAAGCTTGTAGAAGACTAATTTTTATCATAGGTACTCTTCAACTGTGAGTGATGGAATCTAAAACAAAAATCCAGAAAAATTCAATGTATGATTTTTAAATAATAAATTTCCATTTTATTGTGTGAAATAAGTATTTGATCATCTATCAACCAGTAAGAATTTTGGCTCTCACAGACATGTTAGTTCTTCTTTAAGAAGCCCTCCTGTTCTCCTCTCATTACCTGTATTAACTGCACCTGTTTGAACTGGTTACCTGTATAAAAGACACCTGTCCACACACTCAATCAATCACACTCCAGCATCTCCACAAGGCCCAAGACCAGAGAGCTTTGTAAGGACATCAGGGATAAAATTGTAGACATGCGCAAGGCTGGGATGGGCTACAGGACAATAGGCAAGCAGCTTGGTGAGAAGGCAACAACAGTTGGTGCAATTATTAGAAAATGGAAGAAATACAAAATAACAGAAAATCTCCCTCGGTCTGGGGCGCCATGCAAGATCTCACCTCAAGGAGCATCATTGATCTTGAGGAAGGTGAGGAATGAGCCCAGAACTACACGGCAGGACCTGGTCAATGACCTGAATAGAGCTGGGACCACAGTCTCAAAGAAAACAATCAGTAACACTCTACGTCGTCAAGGATTAAAATCCTGCAGTGCATGCAAGGTGCCCTTCCTCAAGCCAACGCATGTTAAAGCCCGTCTGATGTTTGCAAATGACCATCTGAATGATCCAGAGGAGGAATGGGAGAAGGTCATGTGGTCTGATGAGACAAAAAAAGAACTTTTTGGTTCAAACTCTACTCGTCATGTTTGGAGGAAGAAGAATGATGAGTACAACCCCAAGAAAACAGAGGTGTCAAGTAACGAAGTACAAATACTTCGTTACTGTACTTAAGTACACTTTTTAGGTATCTATACTTTACTCCATTACTTATTTTTCTTCATACTTCTGACTTCTACTTATTACATTTTCACACGAGTATCTGTACTTTCTATTCCTTACATTTTTAAAACAACCGTTACTCGTTACTTTTGGCTTCGGTTTAATGCAGAGGTCACGGATTAGCGGACCGCAGGAATTCCTGCAGGAATATGCATCCCCAGTAGCGGGAGCGCGCCTCGCTCTGTACAACCACATATCAACGAGGGAAACGGATTAAACTATTACCAATTTAGCTACTTGTTGTTTTATTAATGATATAAAAACGTTTAAATAGTCCTCTAGTGGGGAAAACATTTGTGGTTATTTAGAAGATTCATTTAAAAAATATATGGGTGTTATGGACAACATTAAATCCAAAGATTTTGTCCGAGGAAAGTCTGATTTATTTGTTGTAGTCTCTTGTTTTTCACACACAACAATAAACAGTGATGCCGCCGTGACAGCACAGCGTTCACAGACCAGTGTGATGCATTCGCGAGCGTCAGATAGCTATGGTGCATCCAGGACCATGGGACATTTCATATTTTCAAGGAAAGATACATAAACGGAAAAGAACTTAACTAATACAAAAATCTATTTATTCAGAAACAGTGTGGGCTTTTTTTTATAATACTGAATGCTCTATAATTGTATTTCTGTTTTTTTATGATGCACATCTGCTAGTTTTTTATTCTAAAAAAATCTGTAATATTAGCAGCAAATTATCAAAGTTTTTCAAAAGCCAGTTTAGAAGCTCCCACTGATTTTTAATTGGTTACTCCTGATTTAATGTTTCTAAATATTTATTTCCCGTCATGTGCGCCATCCAATGCAGATCATTGGCTCCATCCACATCTAGTGAAAACTAGTGTCATTGGATGAGTCATATAACGCAAACACTCATTGGTTAGTTAAAGGAAATCATCAGAAGCAAGCAGGTGTTCTTCAAACTGCTAACGTGAATTGTCTATGCCATGCTACAATGTGGGATTCAGAAAAAGATGTTGAAATGTCTGAAAGGTCGGACACAGGCGAGAGCGTATCGGGAGACGGAGACCAACAAGACCTCCCTCATCCTTGGCCCTATCTCAAAGAATTTTTAGAAATAGTTGAAAAATTTAGCTTTCAGTTCATATAGCGGCATCTGGCTGATTATTTAAAGGTTACTTTATACTTTTATACTTTAAGTAGTTTTTGGAGCAAATACTTTTTCACTTTTACTCGAGTAAAGAGGTCAAGTTGATACTTCAACTTTTACCAGAGTGTTTTTAAACTGCAGTATCTATACTTCTACTTAAGTAACAAATGTGTGTGCTTTTGACACCACTGCAAGAACACCATCCCAACCGTGAAGCATGCCAGTGGAAACATCATTCTTTGGGGATACTTTTCTGCAAAGGGGACAGGACGACTGCACCATATTGTGGGAAGGATGGATGGGGCCATGTATCGTGAGATTTTAGCCAACAACCTCCTTCCCTCAGTAAGAGCACTTAAGATGGGTCGTGGCTTGGTCTTCCAGCATGATAACGACCCGAAACACAAAGCCAGGGCAACTAAAGAGTGGCTCCGTAGGAAACATCTTAAGGTCCTGGAGTGGCCTAGCCAGTCTCCAAACCTGAATCCAATAGAAAATCTTTGGAGGGAGCTTAAAGTCTGTGTGGCCCAGCTTCAGCCCCGAAACCAGAAGGCTCTGGAGGAGATCTGTATGGAGGAGTGGGTCAAAAATTACAGTCTTCTACAAGCTTTGCAAGTGGGAAAACCTGAAAAATCAACAGTGTATCAAATACTTGTTCTCCCCACTGTGTATATATATATATATATATATATATATATATATATATATATATATATATATATATATATATATATATATATATATATATATATATATATATATATATATATATATATATATATATATGATTTCATTTAAAATCCTGATATTGCAGAATCTTGCCATTCATCAGTGGCCTAGAGGTTTCTCGGTGTCGCTGGGGCTCCTCAGCAGGAACCTGGCCTGGTGGCGGATACTGCTGCCTGTAGACTAGAAAAACACAATCATTTAGATTATTTTACATCTTCTCAGGGGACAACTGATCAAGTTCATTCAAAACCTTCAATATTTACAGGGATGTTTTTAAAAGTATTGTATCTAAAACAGTATTAACTGGAAAGTTATCAACATCTAAATTGGTGCAAAAAGAGCTTCACTAAAGATTTATTTTGTTATGTTACAGTTACATTATCTGGGAAATTACCAATCAACTGAATATTCCAAATAAATTCAGCATATATAAAGTTTTTCATCTAGAATTAAAACATTACTGAGATAATCAAAAATACAAACTGTTATTCTCACAGCCTTGTCGATTAAACGTTTCGCCATGGCGTTCCTGCACAGTTCTGACATCATCTTCTATAATACAAAATACAGCCAATTTCAGTAAGTTGTAAGCAAGTTTCTTCAATAACATTGAAGCAAGGCACTTTAAGAAACAGGCAATAAATTAACCTAAAAGCACTTCATTATTTTCTGTTCTTTACCAATATAATGAAGATATAGTTGTTGTTTTTTTCCGTGATGAATAAAACCTTACCTTCTTTAACAAAAGATGCCACGTGGTTCAGATTTGATTTACCTGTTAGAAAACAGTTTAAAGACTTTACATATATATATATATATATATATATATATATATATATATATATATATATATATATATATATATATATATATATATATATATATATATATATATATATATATATATATATGCTTTCATTTAAAATCATAATATCACATTGTGGAATCTTGCCATCCATCTGTGGCCTAAAGGTTTCTCGATGTCTTATGGCATGTAGTCGCTGGGGTTCCTCAGCAGGAACCTGGCCTGGTGGCGGATGCTGCTGCCTGTAGACTAGAAAAACACAATCATTTAGATTATTTTACATCTTCTCAGGGGACAACTGATCAAGTTCATTTAAAAACTTCACATTTTAATGGATGTTTTAAAGTTATTGTATTTGTTACCAATATCTAAACTGCCGCATCCCTGCAGAGAAACTTTACAAAGGTCACATGAAGCCAATGTTGTTCATCTTGTATTTTGTTCTCCCAATTTCCAATTTGTAAGCAAACAGTTCTAATATGTTTACAGGGAATCATTCTTACTACTTCACAAATGTAGTACAGACTTTTTAAGTAAAATTCCAGTCCTTAAGGACCTGAAAGCAGCAAACATTACAAATGTCTGTGTTCAAACTCATTTACATCAAAGAACTTGGTGATGAGTTTAAAAGGTCTTCAGTAAAGATTTATTTTATGTTACAGTTACATTATCAGGGAATTTACCATTCAACTGAATATTCCAAATAAATACTGGAATAAAGTATTTTGATATTTTATTTTCTTCATCTCATTGAATAAAATTAGAACAATGTTGTTGTTTTTTCTAGAATCAAAACATCTCTGAAATAATCAATAATACAAACTGTTATTCTCACAGGCTTGCTGATTATACATCACGCCATGGCGTTTCTGCGAAGTTCTGACATCATCTTCTATAATAAAAATAAAGCAGATTCAGTAAGTTGTGAGCAAATTTCTTCAATAACATTAAAGCAAAACATTATATATATATATAAATATATACGTATATATATGTATATACATATATATATATATATATATATATATATATATATATATATATATATATATATATATATATATATATATATATATATATATATATATATATATATATATATATATATATAAAGCAGGTATGTAAAGCAGAAACATTTAATGTATATATATATATAAACTGTATATATGTACAATTTTGCGGAGGACCACTTTGAGGCAGTCATAGAAATCAGGTGTTTTTTTTATGTTGATCAAATGTTCGGTCAGTTCACGTTAAGAGTTAAGATTTCGTCAGGTGAAATAGGTATGTTGCTTCATTCATCAGAGAGGTAGTTTAATTTGTCTGGGACTGTTTTCTTAGCAGTATTTTTTCAATAAATTGTACTAAATTATTATTTAGTAAATAATTTTTGGTTTTTCATTGTCATGCTATTTGAATTACTAGCTTGAATGTATTTATCAATTTCGGTTAATTGGAGGGTATGTAAACTTTCAAGCACAGCTGTGTGCATGTCTTTCGTACTAAATGTATTACATACATATTTGCGCAATTATTGGAAAAAATCCAAAATAAATTATATACTTGAATATGTTTAAATATGGCTTGGCTACTTATATATGTCCACAAAGACGTACATTTGGAAATCAACAGAATCATTGACATATTTGCTCAGAAGCTCCCAGAAGGTGGGATTTTGTGAACTCATTATCATCACCATCATACAGTTGAAGTTGTTGTATAAGACAATGGCGTCTCCCCCATTGAGGAAAGGGAGGAAGATCCTCCCTATAAAAATTGTCAGAACTTGCAGAAGATATTATAATAAAAACATAAAACGTATTAAATATATAATTGTTGGTATTTCATAGGTATTTAGTAGGTTGTTTGCGGTAAAATTCTATTTTAGCACTTCTAAATCGCTAAACGGTCCGCTGAGGACCGTCCTCCCTAACCCCCTCATTGACTCCCATTATAAATGCTCAAAACCTGGCCGTAGCGCGGGCTTCTCATTTTAACATTGAAGTGAATGGAGGACAGGGAGGACGGTCCTCCCTTTGCACGGGTCAGCTCGAAATGCTAGCCTGTCATCAAGCGGCCAATCTGCAACGCTGCATTTGTCGATGTGCCCAATCAGAATGAAGAGGGTGGGCTGATCGGATGACAAAATTTCAGTGTCATGCAATTTTTCATTCATTCTCTAGAACGGACATCGACTTGTTGAATAGTGCCTTTGATTACTGTTGAAATCAATAAACGAAACAATGGAAGTAATCTATGTTGTTTTCAGGATGTTGAAAGGCAGGGTGAGCAGAGTCATACCGAGTTTTACAGATCTCTCTACGAAGCAGTGCACGACAGCATCAGAGCGCAGCTCACCCAGCGCTTCCAGCAGCTCGATCGTCTACATTTTATGGAGCTATTAGACTTTGAAAAATTCGAATCATTTAGGGCAGCATTCCCTACCAAAGCATTAGCAAACCTATTCGAGACATACGGCCACTTCTTTGATGAGGCTGAATTAAAAGCACAGCTGCAGCACTACTACAGTGATGATGAGCTCCACTCCTCCAAAAAACTGTGCGAAGCCATAAGCTTCATGAAGTCCAACGGGCTTGATGAGGCGATGGCTGAGGTGTACAGACTAATGTCTCTGATTGCTACTATTGGTGCCACCTCAACAAGTTGAGAGAAGCTTCTCTTGCCTGAAACGTATTAAAAGTTTCACAAGAAACTCCATGGGGCAGGAGAGACTGAAGAGTTTGGCAATCATTTCTATTGAAAGGAAGATGCTGAAATGCCTCCAACAAGACCCCCAGTGGTATGAACAGTTTATTACAAACAATGCAACCCCTTTAACAGTGCCTCAGCACCAAGCACCGAAATACAAATATAACCTCCAGATCTCTCTCTCTTTCTCTCTCTGAGTGAATGGCGGAGTGCATGGAGCTTGAGACGGGAGTGTCAGAGTGAATGGTTTTTGAGTGTTCTACCTTTTCTTCGTAAGGTGTTTTTTTAAAGCACCTTCTTCTACATACTGTTTTTTTTTCTATTCTTAAGTTGATTTTTGGTTGTAGCCAAAGCTACCGGATCGATTTGGCGTTTTTGGCATCATGCCCGTGGTGGAGGGCGGTGCAGAGTTTGAAAAGCTGACACGTTGGCATGCTGTCAAACTCATACCGACAGTGAATTGTTCAGTAGAGGAGGCAGCCTTAGCCGCTGGAGGAGTGGTGGGTTGTGACAGTGTGAAATCTGCTTCCCGTATGAGTGGAGCGATTTTGATTTTTCTTGATGAAACATCTAAAGTAAATGATTTGGTTGAAAGGGGCGTGGTCATTCATGACACCTTCACGCCGGTTCTCCCGCTGGTTACTCCAGCTAAAAAGATTTTTATTTCTAATGCACCTCCATTTATTAAAAATGATCTCCTTGCTAAAGAGCTGTCCCGCTATGGACAACTAGTTTCACCCATAAAGATGGTTTCTTTGGGCTGTAAATCTCCGCTTCTCAAACATGTCGTGTGTCACTGAAGACAGGTTTTTTATGATCCCAAAAGACACAGCTACCGACCTTAACCTGTCCTTTAATTTTAGGGTTGATGGGTTTAATTATATGGTCTTTGCTTCCACCGAGAACGTGCCCAGAGAGACTTAAAATCACACGCTTGGTGAATGCTGAACGCGGTGCCGCCGATGCGGAACGCGGTTCCGCCGAAGCGGGCTGCGGTGCCGCCGATGCGGAATGCGGTACAGCCGAAGCGGGCCACGGTGCCGCGATGCGGAATGCGGTACAGCCGAAGCGGGCCACGGTGCCGCCGAAGCGGGTCGTGGTGCCGCGGGAGAGGGTGAAGCTGTAACTGACGATTTTATGGCAGCCGGTGCGGGTGTTCCTTCACTTGACAGGAACCACTTAGAGCCTCATGCTGAATCCTCTCGGAGGCTTAGGCAGATGACTGCAGCCTCTGATCTTTCAGATGTGTGGAGAACTTTTAACAGAAATCAGAGACAGTATACATGGTGTCATTCTAAAGATAATATTTTATCTTTAGCAAGATTAGACTGTGTATATGCATTTATGCACCATCTGAATGTATTTAAGAATTGTCAAATAATTCCTGTTAGTTTTTCTGATCACTGTCTGGTTTGTTGCTCTGTATTTATTAAAAATGTTCGTTTACAGAGTGTCTACTGGCATTTCAATACAGCTCTTTTAAACGATAGAGCTTTTAGGGAAGCTTTTGAGTGTTTTGGGATCAGTCATAGACAATCAAAATCTTTATTTTCAAATTAAGCAGTTGTGTCAACAGTTCACTCGCAATGTCACTAGAGACATAACCAGATCTATGAAATACTTGGAGACTCAGATAGTAGAGCTGCAGGGTTTGGCAGCATCTACAGGAAATCAAGGGTTTTTAGATTCCCTCAAAGCTAAAAAGGCCGTTCTGGCCAACCTGTTGGGCACAACAGCAAAAGGAGCCCTGGTCAGATCACGCTTCCTAAGTGTAACAGAGATGGATGCTCCGTCTCATTTTTTCTTTGGTCTTGAAAAAAAGAATGGACAAAGAAATATTGTTCACTCCCTAAAGACTGACTGTGGTTTTACTATCTCTGTTGGGATCTGGGGATGTACCACCTTCCTCCAGCAGAGTGCGCCGTGGGTCTCCTGGGCTGGAGCCCTCCAGCACACCTGAGACGCATCTACTCATCAGGAGACCCTCCCTTTATAAGCAGCTGCCAGACCTTTCTTCGACGCAGCAGTGTAGACCTTAGTTTGGTTAGAAACCTGAGCCTCTGTTACCTGAAAGAATCTTAAGTTGTCTCAAGGGAGAAAACTGATTCTAACCCCCCTCTGTCTTTGCTCACAGGAAACCTGTCTCAAGCCTGAAGCTCTGGGTGAGCTTAACCTGCCTTCCTGCCCTGGTGAGCCAAACCTGAAGATTCCTATTTGGATTCCCTCTGCTGCTCTCTGTGTTGAGCTGGAAACTCTGATCAAGGTCTGCCATTCAAAGTCAGAAGCTAGACGCTGCAGCT